CTTTTACAAACAGAAAGAAAATCCCCATTGTGGGTCTGAATAGCAACAAATCAATTGTGAGCCAGTCACAATATCTTCACTAATTTGGTTACCGTCCAATAGGAGTCTGCCTGCCCTTCCCACCAAACTCAGAGCAAAGAGAGGCAGACAAACCCAGTGATGACATCACTAGGTCTCAAAAGCAGTATTTCTTTAAGGTTCATTGAAGGACACAGCAAAGATTGAAGATCTGAAACCACAGGGTTATATCGCCTCACGCAGGACGCTAGGCACAAAACAAAAACAGCCCAGGGGCGGCCTCTGCTGGTGGCCAACCCCCCACCTGCTGAACAAGTCTCCAGCATGTAACAAGTAGTGAGGAGAACACTCCCACATATACTGAGGGTTGGCGGTGTTGTCCTTCAATGAAGGCAGAGAAAAGGATGTTACGGTAACATAGCAGGTGAGTTTGAATAAAGACCAAGGTCCACCCAGTTTAACCTGTCTATTTACCGGTAAAAATATCGGTACTCGTACTCAAAAAAACGGTAACGGTCCATTCCTACTAAATATACAAGGATACGGGAAGTGTTAAATACAGACGCGCGCGCGCACACACACAGGATAACCGAATACCGAAAGTCCTATTAAGGAAGCCAGACAGCATGTAAGGACTCGCCACCTGGCTTCCCGATTAGCCGGGAAGCGTGCAAAAGACTCGCCACCTGGCTTCCCGATGAGCATTGGAAGCAGTCTCCATGATCCCTCGTCACCAAATGGACCTCAGTGGTGGATCCCTGCATTTAGTTCCACTTCTGCGCTTTTTTTTTCCCTTTGGTGCGGCGGTGCCCTGCGCTCCTGGTCCACCATTGAGGTGACTGTTTCAAATTGATTATTTTAGGTTTTTTGTCAACAAAAAAAAAAAAAAGGCAAACAATAAATAAATAATTCAGGTTTTATACATAGGGTGTTTAATCAAGCACTCCCATGCTGTGAGGTAGGATTTCAATTTTTGAGGTGACACTTTAAATCACTTAATTCAAGTCTCTGCTCCATGGTAGATTAAAAAAAGGGGCACCCAGAAGTGGCTCCTAAGCTAACAAAGCGGCACTAGAGAATGAGGCGATTTGAAACCTCACCTTTGAGGTGGATCAGGAGGGCCACCGCCGCCATTAGGATGGAGAACTTGTCCCCAGGTGTGGGCGGAGGAGCAAGTCTGATTCTTTGTCCCGGGTGACGGAATGTCTAGCTTTGCCTCTGGATACCACTTGTGTGCACATGCTCTCAGTACTGTTCTTGAATATTGTTGATAATTTTGAAGACTACAATAAAAAGGTCCCCTCTTAAAATCACCTCCTTTATAAGGAAAATAGGTTTATTTCCTTAATGCAGTGTACTGTATCGAACGCTTTAGCAAAGTCCAGATGCTCCACATCTACTGGTGTTCCTGTCTAAATTAGTACGAACCTCATAAAAAGTTATAGGTTGGGACACCACTCTTAAGATAATTCAACTAATTAATCTGGTCCGTAGTAGGAACCTTCCCAGTATGTTACCATCTTTGGATATTCAAAAGGCATGTATATACTATATACTTGAAAAATGGGGTTTCCCTGACACATTTTTGGCATGGCTCCGAGCTCTATATAGTTCCACATCGGCCTCTGTCCGCTACTTTCAACATCTCTCCCCTAATTACAGTTAATCGGGTTGAAAAGACACATGTTCATCAAGTTCAACCTATAGAGATATGAAAGAAAAAAAAAAAAGCCTAAACAGAACGCTATGCCCACAATTATCCACTGTTGATCAAGAGGAAGGCAAAAAAAAAAAAACCCTTATAAAGCATGGTTCAATTTGCTCCAACAGGGGAAAACAATTCCTTCCTGATTCCATAAGGCAATCGGATATTCCCTGGATCAACAATCTCCGATGCTTAATATACCTATAATAACTCAATATCTAGTAATAGTCTGTGCATTTAGGAATACATGCAGATTTTTTTTAAACAAATTACCGGAGCTAATGACAATCCTTACCAAACTTCTGTACTTTTTACGTACCCTCCCAATTACAATTCCGGGGTTTTCCCTCCGTGCATTCCGAAATAGTGTTATGGATTTTGTATGGGGTACCAAAAGACGCATTTCTATATTTACCATGTGTGCCCAGAGGCAGGCGGCTTGGGCCTCCCTAATTTTTCCAAATATCATCAGGCAGCTCAAATTGCCCCCATGATCAACATGTTTGTCTTCACAAGCTCCGCTCTGGACTAATATTAAAAGTTTTTATTGTACTCCAATCTCCATCAGAGCTCTACCATGGCTCCCATGTCACTTGCGCCCTAGGAGCATGAGCCCTCATGAGACACATGTAAAGTTAGGGATGACACCAAATATTCTAGAAAGTGAATCTCTTCTCACCTCCCCCTGCTTTATGTACTGGGCAACCCTTTGTTTGTTCCAGGTTTGGAGACGGCGGGATCATTTGGTTGGTGGTCATCGCATAACTTTGAATACCTGTATAAGCTTTTACATGGCAAGTAATCTATAGCTGGTCCAATATTAGGGATCGACATCATGCTTCCTGCGAGGAATACTTCTGTTACCTACAACTTAGACATTGGGCCTCCTCCATTTTATCTAATAGAATATCCCCCACACAACTTAACAACTTTTGAGCACATACAACCTAAGCAGATTTCCATATTGTATTTGCATCTCAATTCGGTGTCTTCCCTGTCGGATCATGTGCATGCTTATGTACGTAGGTGGGAACAAGATCTCCAAAGCTCCAAATCGACCCTGGATTGGCAACAAATGTGGAATAGAACAGCTTCCTGTATCATTAATATTACTTCCCTGGAGACACCTTATAAGACTATGATGCGGTGGTACATGGTCCATTCAAGGTTAATTTCATCTACACCCATCGCATTTCGCTCTATGCTTCCGAGGATGTTCCACTAAAAAGGTGACGTTTTGCACACTTGGTGGTCTTGTCCTCTGCTAACTAGACTTTGGTCCAGGACTTTTCTTCTTAGCTCTCTCTTTCACAAACCTATACATAAAGAGCCCTGGTTTGCACTCTTACACTTTAAGCCTCCATCTCTCACGAAAGCCCAAGATGAATTGCCAGTCTTTCTCCTACTGGTAGTCAAACTATTGCCCAAGCCTGGCAGAAACAATTTGTCTATTTTGCTGATGTCTGACGCAAGATCGATTCCTTCATTAACGAGAAGCTCTCTGGTATCCTACTAGAATCCAAGAAGAAATTCCAAAAAGTTTGGAACCCATGGATTTCTTACGCACACCTTGACCTTTCCCTTGAGAGCTTAACATACGTTTGAGCCTCTGGAATGGAACAACCCACTATTTTAGGTACCTTGGTGCCACCCTTCCATCACCCCCTCTTCATTACTGTCCTGCTTCTCTCCCTTTACTTTTTTCCTTCCCTACTCTTATGTTAATGATCTCTGTTATTGACCACTCATGTTCTCATAATTCTAGGGTTGATGTAGAAAATATTGATTACTCCTAGTAGAATGGGTTTACTTTTACCCATACCCATGTGGGGAAATCTCAAAAGGTGTTGGGCAGAATGCCCTACATACTGCAACCTGTTTATGCTACCCTGTTTCACAACAATTGTGATAATTTATTCTTCATTGTTATGATCTCTATATTAAAATGTAAAACCAATAAAATATTTTTGAAATTGAAAAAAGTTAGATTGGTCTGACGAGAATGGTCCTTCATGAAGCCATGTTTGTTTCTACTCATACCAGTTTTATTCACAAATTTCAGCATGTAGTCCCTCATCATGCCTTCGAATATTTTGCACACTATTGATGTTAAGCTGACTGGCCTATAGTTACCCGGTGAACTCAGTTTCCCCTTTTTGTATATTGGTACCACATATGACCTCCAATCAACTGGTACCGTACAAGTCATTAGAGTGTCCATAAAGATGTACAGTGGTTTGCCTACGACCTGGCTAAGCTCCTTGAGTACCCTTAGATGTAACCCCATTAGTTCCGGGGATTAGTGGACATTTAATCTTTCTAGCCTCTGTACGACTCTGCTGACGCCCAGAGATACAATAACATTTATTGTTCCTGCAGCTGATGCCCTGGGTCCTTGCCCATGTCCATCTCATCTGTAAAAACAGAAGAAAAGAATGTTTAAACGTACAAAATTCCTATTTCTTTCTTCTGTTCCATGAAGATTGAAGGACACAGCGAAGAAGATCAAAAATCTGAAACCACAGGGACTTAAAGCAGTACAAAAGGAGGAGTGGGCAGGTAAACAACCCCCCCCCAAAAAAAAAAACCTCTGCCTGCAAAACCTTGCGCCAAACCATCAACCTTGTAGAACTTGGGAGAAAAAAAAAAAAACAGAAGACCAGGTGGCCACCTTACAGATCTGAGAAACTGAAGCACAATGACGAAAGGCCCAGGACGCCCCGACTGCCCTAGACCCTTAATAGCATACGCTTGAACAATCATGTTACGAATCCAAGGCGAAATGGTGGCAGAAGACACAGCTCGACCCTTTCGAGGACCATCCGTGACCACTAACAGTCCCTCTTGCGAAAGTATGCTGTAGCATCCAAATGGACACAAATCGCCCGAACGTCATCCAGACAATAAAGAGCTCTCTCTTTCCAATGTGCAGGCCTCGGGCAAAGAGGGCAAAACAATATCCTCATTAAGATGAAAAGCCAAAAGTACCTTAGGAAGAAAGGACTCCATGGGTTGAAGCACCACCCCGTCCCTTTGGAGAACCAAGAAAGGGGACTTACACGACAAGGCCGCCAGCCATAAAACTCTGAACTGAGGTAATAGCTACTAAAAATAGGATTTTTGTACTCACCGTAAAATCCTTTTCTCTGCGTTCACTGAAGGACACAGAAAACTGATCGTAGATCATGTACCGCAGGTAATATTGCTACCTGCAGGAGGACGCTAGACACAAAAGAGAGCCTAGGGGCGGCAACCTGCTAGTGGCAAAACCCCGCACCTGGTGACAAGCCTCCGGTAACAAGCAGTAAGGAGTATACTCCTCCACAAAGAGGGCGGGACCTGTGTCCTTTAATGAAAGCAGAGAAAAGGATTTTACAGGGAGTACAAAAACCCTATTTTCTCTTCAGTTCATTAAAGGACAGAGGAAACTGATCTTAGATCATGTGATCATGTACCACAGGGACTTCACAAAGCAGTATAAAACCAGAGGGATGGGCACAAACTGAAAAAAGCATCCCACACAAAGCTTCTCTACAGGGCAGAGTGCAAAACTTCAGATAGAAGCACTATGATAAAAAGCCCAAGATGCCCCAATAGGAAGTACAGGAAAGGAGGTTCACGACCCTAACAGCAAACGCCTGAATAATAGGGTAACAAATCCTACGCAAAAAAGGTTCTAGGAGACACAGCCTGACCCTTCCAAAGACCATCTGTAAGCACGAACAAGGAATCCAATGCACGAAACGATGCTACAAACAGTGGATAGTCTTCAGACAGAAAGGGAAACACTAAACCTCATGAAGATGAAAGGCCGAAATCACTTTTGGAAAAAAACAAACAAAAAACAAAAAGAACACAACACTTCGGGCAGAGCACAACCTCGTGTCCATGAAAAAACAGAAAAAGGAAGACTTGCACGACAAGGCTGCCAACTCCGAAACTCTCCAAACAGAGGCAATGGCCACCAAAAAGGCCAGAGATTCAAAAGCGGAAACTCCCTCCAGTAGCAAACTGATAACCGTTTTGGCACCACAAAGACTTGGCGGGGCACATCCACTGCGTGAATAAAAAAATCAAAGAGTACGGGAAAATTGACACCCATCACATAAGCTGATAAGTACCAAATTGAACCAGAGGCAGCTCAGAACTAGGAACGCCCTCAATCTTCAACATCTCCCTGACTGACCTGGTCTTCAGCATGCCTGCACCCACACCAGGATCCATGGCTCAGCAGGGAAGGCCCACTGCCCGTTGGATGCAAGCCGTGGACTGAAGTAGCAGTGCCCCACTGCTGCAGCCTGGTGTGGGTCCAGGCCTGCTGGACCCAAAAGGCCACTGTTCCCCACGGGAATGCCTGCCGCGCCAGCAGAGGAACCACTGCCCCCCAGCGCAACATAGAAGGATCTAGCCTCCCACAATGGCCATAGCACCAGCCTCCCTGCAAAGGCCTCTGTCAGACCCCTAGCCAACAACATCTGTACCTCCTAGGGGACACAGGAAGAGATCCTGGACAGTGTAGACCGTACAAGAAAACTTTGACGCAATGGTATGCGAACACCGCAGCAAAACACTAGGGCACCGCAGCGATGGAAAAGCAACACCTGACCATAGTCAGGGCGCCGCCTGCCTGTGAGGGGTACTATGACTGGGCAGCCGAGACCCCCAGTCATTTGTAGCCCACCAGGATGACTCCCACAGGCACTCCATGAAAGAGTAGTCGCAGCCAAGCCATCGGAGCAGAGTGTGCATACGCTGGCAGGCCAGGGTGGGTAGGACTACAAGGATCTACGATCATCCTAAGTGTAACCCAGCTGGCAGTTGCTTGAAAATTCAACCAAAAATGGAGGATAAAAAGGAAGCTCCTTACTCCTGATGCTAGGCAAGAAACTGGAGACTTTTCAGCAGGAGTGGGGTTTGGTCACCAGCAGGGGCCACCCCTAGGCTGTCTTTTTGTTACCCAGCAGGTGGCGATATTACCTGTGGTACATGATCTACGATCAGTAGAGAAAACGCCTCTGAGAAAGTCAAAAGCGGCATCTCCCTCAAAATTTCAAAGACATACACCTGCAACACCGAAATCACCAATTTCCAATCCCAAGGGGGCAACAGAGACCGTACTCAGAAACGATGTGCAACCCCCTGCACAAATGACTGTACCAAGGAAATTACCACTGAAAGAGGGTGGCCAGGGCTGAAATCTGCCTCTAACCATGCTCAGACCTGCTAGACCCTGAACCACCCCATGCTGGTGGAAAGTCAGAATTCTGTGGAAACCCACTATTACATCAACATATCCTACCACCTAAATAAGATTGGAGAAAACTGGAGCTGACAGAGGAGATTAGGGCAACAGTCAATAGAAAGTATATAAAAAATATTTACCATTTCCATCATCTCAGGATCTTCAAAGTCATAGATAATGTGTTCCAATATATCTCTGTCAGATACAAACCCCAGTGCTCTAAACACAATAATAATGGGCACTTCTTGTTTGATATAAGGTAATGTTGCAACAATACGTTGACCAATGGCACTTTTTTTGGCTCCCTGTGAAAATGAAAGAAAACAAATATAATAGCTTTTTATTTGATGAAATGAACAAAAAATATTTTTGAAGAAAAGGGGTAATAGAAACATTTGTAACAGATTTTAAAAAAAGGGGAAAAACATACCGAAAAGCAGAAAAGCATTCAAAATGCACCAAACATGTAAGAAACATTAGCTTACCTGACCTCCCCGTGCCAACATGCTGACCCATATAGAACTTGTTGGTCTTGAAGAATTCTCCAAGCAAGACCGACACTCGGCAGTATAAGCATACTTAGAATCTTTCTTCGCAAAGACATATACAGTGTTTGTGGCCATTTTTTCTTGAGCGATTAAAACCTGGAGATTAGATGTTCAATATACAAGGGATATTTTAAAATGGTTATTAAACTCATTAAGAGAGCGAGAGGGGGGGGGGGGAGAAAGGGCGAGAGAGGGGGACACTATTTTGCCAAAAGTATTGGGACGCCTGCCTTTACACACACGGACTTTAATGCCATCCCAGTTACATAGTTACATAGTATTTGAGGTTGAATAAAAGACACAGGTCCATCAAGTTCAACACATTGCGTCTATGCATGTTACTCTGTATGTGTATGCTTGTGTACGAGTACCCTTGTGTTCTTGTTCCTAACAGAACCTGTACCCCTGAATGTTTCAGTCTCTGAGGAAATCGTCCCAAGTGTTTTTTGAAAGATTCAATACTCGCAGCTGAGATCACTTCCTGTGGCAGTGAGTTCCAAACTCTAACGGCCCGAACTGGGAAGAAGCCCCTTCGTGCTGAAATCTTTTCTCCACCAGTTTAAGGTAGTGACCTCTAGTCTTTGTCATGGAGTGTACCGTAAAAAGTTTGTTGCTGATGTTGCCATCTCCATTGAACATTTTGTACGTGAAAATCATATCCCCCTTAATCTCCTCACTTCCAACGTGAACATGTTTAAATCTAGTAACCTTGTCTCATAGCTTTGGTCCTCCATCCCCTTAGTTTGGTTACCCTCCTCTGGATTCTTTCTAGCTCAAGGACATCCTTTCTATGTACTGGTGACCAAAACTGGACCGCATACTCCAGATGAGGTTGAACTAGTGATCTATAAAGTGGTAAAATGATAGATTTGCCTCTCGAGTACATTCCCTTTTTAATACAAGACAGTACTCTTGCTTGCTTTGGTCACCGAAGCCTGGCATTGCAAGCTATTGTTCAATCTGTGGTCTACTATGACCCGCAGATCTTTTTCCATTTCTGACTTCCCTAGTGGAGTACCCATTAATGTGTATTCCATTTGCCTATTTTTAACCCCAAAATGTCATTACTTTACATTTATCGACATTAAACCTCATCTGCCATATAGTTGCCCACTCACCTATTTTATCCAGGTCCTCCTGTAATGTTCTACTGTCCAAGTCCGTGTCCATTACCCTCCCAATTTTAGTATCATCAGCAAACACAGAAACATGACTATTTACGCCCTCCCGATATAGTTAATAATCAGGTTGAATAGTATGGGGCCTAGCACAGAACCCTGGGGCACACCACTCATGACTCTGGACCAATCTGAAAAAGAGCCATTTATTGATACTCTCAGGACACGTTCCTGTAGCCAGTTCTCTATCCATATACACACCATTTCATCTATGCCCATAAACCTCAGCTTGTGTAGTAAGCGTTTATGTGGTACCGTGTCAAATGCTTTTAAAAAAATCCAAATATACCACATCCACCGGCCTCCCTCCATCCAGATCTCTACTCACATCTTTGTAGAATGTCAGGAGGTTTGTGTGGCATGAACGGTCCTTCCTAAATCCATGTTGATTGTCATTTATTATGCCATTATCATGAACAAACTCTACTAAGTAGTCCTTTATCATTCAGTCTAACAATTTACATACTATGGCTGTAAGACTGAGCAGTCTGCAATTCCCAGGTTCGCATCTTGACACTTTTTTGAATATCTGTACTACCGTAGCCATCCGCCAATCACTTGGCACGTTACCAGTCATTAGGGAGTCCTTGAAAATGACGAATAGTCTTAGTGCCCATTCACACTAAGCGACAAATCACGCGATATCGCGCATTTTTGCTGCGCGATATCGCCGGCCAATGATATTCAATGAAGCTGTTCTAATGTACAGCTCCATGTCGCCCATCGCAGGACCCTTTTTCCCACGGATGACGCACGATTTTTTCAATATTGAGTTGGCCCACTCTCTGCAGCTATAACAGCTTCAACTCTTCTGGGAAGGCTGTCCACAATGTTTAAGAGTGAGTATATGGGAATGTTTGACCATTCTTCCAGAAGCCTATTTGTGAGGTCTGGTACCGATGTTGGACGAGAAGGCCTGGCATGCAGTCTCCACTCTAATTCATCCCAAAGGTGTTCTATCGGGTTGAGGACAGGACTCGGGGCGAGCCAGTCAAGTTCCCCAACCTTGCTCATCCAGGTCTTTATGGACCTTGCTTTGTGCACTGTCATGTTGGAACAAGGGGCCATCCCCAAACTGTTCCCACAAAAGGTGAGAGCATAAAATTGTCCAAAATGTATCGGTATGCTGATGCCTTAAGAGTTCCCTTCACTGGAACTAAGGGGCCAAGCCCAACCCCTGAAAAACAACACCATACCATAATCCCCCCCCTCCACCAAACTTTACACTTGGCACAATGCAGTCAGGCAATTACCATTCTCCTGGCAACCACCAAACCCAGGCACATCCACAGGAGCGTGATTCGTCACTCAAGAGAACACGTCTCCACTTCTCTAGAGTCCAGCGGTGGCGTGCTTTATACCACTGAATACGACGCTTTGCATTGCACTTGGTGATGAAAGGCTTGGATGCAGCTGCTCGGCCATGGAAACCCATTCCATGAAGAAGCTCTCTACACACTGTTGTGCCAATCTGAAGGTCACACGAAGTTTTGACGTCTGTAGCTATTGACTCTGCAGACAGTTGGTGACTTCTGCGCACTCAACATGCACTGACCCCGCTCTGTCATTTTACTTGGGTTACCACTTCGTGGCTGAGTTGCTGTTCCCAGTTGCTTCTACTTTGTTATAATACCACTAACAGTTGACCGTGGAATATTTAGTAGCAAGGAGATTTCACGGAAGGACTTGCACAGGTGGCAACCCATCACGGTACCACGGTTGAATTCACTGAGCTCCTGAGTGACCCATTCTTTCCCAAATGTTTGTAGAAGCAGTGTGCTTGCCTAGGTTCTTGATTTTATGCACCTGTGGCCATGTAGGTGATTGGAAGACTTGAATCCAATGCTTTGGAGGGGTGTCCCAATACTTTTGACACACACACCAAACCATAATACAAAGAAAACATGTTGGTAATACCTTCTCAGACCCATTAATGATAAAGTAACCCCCTGGGTCTAGTGGACATTCATTTAACTCGCAGAGATCACGGTCAGTAAGGCCATTCAAGAGGCAGTATGTAGAACGCAACATTATTGGTATTTTTCCAATAAAGGTTTTCTGATGCTGAGTTTGAATCTGTTCTTCCCCTTCTTTTATGACTGTCTTTGTAATATCAACGTAGAGAGGGGCAGAATACCTGTATTAGAATTCAAAACACAAAGTTTACCTTTATTGCGGTTTGTCACGTCATAAAATTTTTCAAATTTTTAAAAAAAAAATAAAATAAAGTACCACACAAGGACAAGCACAGAGGGCATTTTGACCATTAAGTGATGTGAGCAAATTAGGACCAAAACACACCACTATTAAGAATACAGCAACAATAAGGTTTTGTAGGGGAGATGTTACCAAGCACTCAAAATGAAAACAAAAAAGGCATACTTAAGATGCCGAAATGTAAAAAAAAAAAAAAATATGTTAGACTTACCGGTAATTTTATTTCCAGTAGTCTTCCAAGGACAGCATGCAAGAGGATCAACAAGAGCTCACTACTAGGGGCAGTAGGCTTGAATAACCTACCAAAGGGCTGATCCCAAGAAGTGATAAGATTCAGCCAATAATGCCAGATAAGAAGATAGAGAAGCTTGACCACGTAGGCACTTTACAAATCTGTTCTAGTGTGGAACCAATTTTTCTTTTTTTTTTTTAAGGTGCAATCAGTCACATCTGTGGGGTCAAGCAGAAGCTTGCCAAAAGACAACTCTAGGGAACAATGAAGATCAAGACAACTAGAAAACCTGTGCCCTATGACAGCACCTCTTTTCTGTCTCCATCACTGTCCATTAACATCCAGTTAAGGTTTTTGGGGGGGTTTCTCCCCAACTCTGACTTGGATTATATTTTTAAAGCCTTATTTCAACCAATTTCTGAGCTTAAAAAAATAAAACAAAAAACAAACAAGTGCGGAAGTTAAATTTTCTGTCAAGTTTTCAGTTCTGTGTGACCCTTTTGAAGAGAATTTCCCTCATTTCCTGCTCCTGTGACACATGTAGAAATACTGGTGGGGGGAAGAGGTCATAAGGACAAAGATATAGAAAACAAAGACTCAAGTTTTAACCCTTCCCCACTCTACTAAAAAAAAAGGTTTTGAGCGATTTACCATCACTTCCTGTTTTACACTTCCTTCACTGATCTCCACCCCTTTACCAATATATTAATTTCATTTTGCTACAAAACCATAAAAGAAGCCAGTTTGCCTAGTGTGCAGGAAACAACCAGCCACACAAATTACAAACTGCCAAATAAAAAAAACTACCCAACATCCAGTTTAACTTAAACATGATCATAATTTTGAATACACAAATCTAAAAATTTTACTCAGTCACAAAATTTCTTACGTTAAATTTCTTAGTCTGGCTTCATTTGGCATCATAGGAGAAGGAGCGCCATCTCTCTCCCAGTGTGTAGGTTTAGACAGATATATCTGTTCAAACTTCAGAAGGTATCTTGGCTGTAATTTGTCAGACATGAAAAAAGTAAGCACAAATATATTGCTACATTTTACAGACATTTGAGCATACATAATAAAGCGGACATTTACACTCAATCTAATTCTCCCAATGCATCCCTCTATGCATGTTTAATAATAACAGGACATGTCAAGTATAAAATGCTGAGATTTTGAAATACACTTGCAGAGCATTCCCTTCCTGCTTTGAAAGGGCAAAATGTCTTCAGTTTGCCAAAGCAATGCACACTGGGATCGCCTTGTCAAAAGAGCATTGCTGGGAAATCTCATGAGATCTCAGGGAAAGGCATTTTCCTCCCCTGAGATGATGTGCATGGTCACATGTCCTGTCACACATGCCAGAAATCAAGGAAGTAAAAGGAGAGCTAGTAATCTGCACTAGGTAAATATGGCCACTGCCAGAAGACTGGGGAAAGAGAAACAACATATGCAAGGAATACAAAGCCTGCAGTTATCTAGAAGTATGGGTTTCTAGATTGTCTACTAAAACTTTTCTAAAAGGTGTGTTTGTTATGTTAAACATATGGGTAAAGGTCCGCTTTAATCTATTACAGCATTAAGGATATTGTGAATTACAACTCAGTGACAATAGGTAAAAATTTAGAAAAATTATAACTACTTCAAAATTCCCATTAATCATATTATGTATGTACATTTATAATTGCCCGCTACGTCTTCCACAAGCTATTTTTCATAGTCCTTAGTGGGAATAAATAAAAGAAAAACAACATCATCACAAAAGGAAAAATGCAGAGTGGGAATGGCAGGAGCTACATCAATTTGCACACCATGAATTGCTGATTTTGCACAGAGCCAAGCATCCTTAACCTCCCTGGCGGTCTGATTATGTCAGTATTTTTTCTTTTTTTTTTACTTTTGAATTTCCCGCCGGTTCCGCCCCCTTGCGACACCGGCGCTCGCAGGGAAGGAACCCAGAAGATGGATGCCGGCATTGGCCAGAGGACACTGCGGGGCTCGTAGGGACAAGGTAAGTGACGCTACAGTGTAATCCTGAGTGTGGCTCAGGGGGGTTACCGCCAGGGAGGTTAAAGTGCATTCCACTTCTGCAGACAAAATGAAGAAAACCCCACTATGTTAATTATGGATTTCCATTTACACAACAAAATATAGAACAAAAATGACAGATGAGCTTCAAATCTAGAAAAATGTCAGGTCGTGCCCTTGGGAGCTGAGAACAAGCATGCTAAATACACCTTGGGTGGGGTTTCTCTGGGGAAAACAGAGAGAAGAATCTTGGGGTCCTTATAGACCACAGACTGGAGTAGACAACAGCATGTAGTGCCAAGCCGAAGCTAATAAAGCCAGTAGTAGGGCTGCAATGATTATTTTCATAATCAATTAGTTGGCTGATAATGTTAGTTTTTTTTAGTTTTGAAAAATTAACCACCTGCTGTCCGGCCGTTATAATTAAACAGCCGGACAGCGGCTTCTTGAATGCGGGTGGGCGTTTTTAGACTTCCCATCCCGCCCCGCTCGTGCCCACCACTGGCGGCGCGCACGAACGGGAAATCGGCTTTGAATATAAACAGCCAGTGATGGCTGTTTACATACAAGCATCTGTAGAGACGCCCGATCGCTTGTAATATGCGTGCAGGTGTGCCCAACCCCGTCGCAGCTGGCGATCCCGAGCTCCGCTGTTCCCGGTGTGAGCCCGGGACCAGCACAGCAGCTCTGTGACCGGAGATGAAAACGGAGCTCAGTACACAAGCTCCGTTTGATCTCCTCGTCGGAATGCAGGCAGTGATGTGTATTACATCACTGGCTGCATTCAGTGTCACTCTCCGGTACAGAAACCGGAGAGAAGCTGGTGAAGCAGGTCTCTGCTTCATCAGCTTCTCTGGGGGTCCCTAGGTGACATTAGGGGTCTTAAAGACCCCCTGATGTCTCCATAAAGAGGACCTGTCACTGCAAATTGGCCATCACATAGGGAGCTTGTTTGCACCCTATGTGATAGCAATAAAGTGAAGGGAAACTACCATGGATTACAGTAAGGCACACATTACAGTATTGGTTTATGTTACTTTAAGTGAAAAAAAAAAAAGTCACATCAAAGAAATAAAAAAAAAATTAAAGTTCCCCCGCCCCCACATGCACACGCAAACATGCGTCGAGTCAGCCTACATGAGCAAACAACGATTACATCCATTGCGCCGCACAGGTTACATATCGCCGCGAACGTCGCAGTGAGAGCAATAATTTTAGGGCCATTAATCACTGATAACACTAAACTGATAAGCGGTAAAAGCTTTAAAAGCATCGGCTATGGTCAATTTGGGGTATGGTAGTTTTTTGCGATTTAGCGGGTGAGCGCAATTTTAAAGCTTGACATGTTTGGTGTCCATTTACCCAATGTGACCCCGCCTTTTATATTTTACCAAAAAATTGGGTAATAAATGTTTTAAAACATAACGTAGGGAGAACAGGGGGTTTTTTTCAACATTTTCGGTACTTCATTAAAAAAAAAAAAAAAACCCCGTAGTGGTGATTAAATCCACCAAAAGAAAACTATCTGTCCCCAAAATAAATGGTATAAAATGAATTTCAGTACAGAGTTGCATAACAGAATAAATGTCAAAGTACTGCAGCGATGAATACTGAAAATTGGCCTGGACAGGAAAAAGGCCGGGACAGGAAGGGGGTGTAAACACCTGGTCTTCAACTGGTTAAGGATGGTATTTAACCACTTGCTGACCAGGGTGTTTATCCCCCCTTCCTGTCCCAGCCTTTTTTCAGTACTCAGCGCTGCAGTACTTTGACTGGCGTTTCAGTCATACAACGCTGTACTGAAACTAATTTTATACAATTTTTTGGGGACAGATAGAGCTTTCTATTGGTGGTAATCACCACTGGGGTTTCTATTTTTTACTATACAACAAAAAAGTACCCTAAATTTTGTTTAAAAAATTTAATTAAAAAAAAAAAAAAAA